AGGAAGGAGAAGGAGCATATGACCACAGCGACGCTCGCCCGCTCCGAAACAGCCAACACGCGTGCGCCTTGGAATGTATCCCCGTGAGTGGAACTCCCTCGCCCCGATCAAAACTCGCTCTCGACTGAGACATCGCACTTGTACTTTGACGTGGCTATATCGAGGGTGGACTCCGCTGCTCGCCATCTTGCTATCTTGACGTCAAGTGAACGAACGCTGGCGCCGACGTTGAGGCTGCTTCATCTGCAATCCTTCGGAAGACCAAGAAAGGAAGGGAGGGAAACAACTCGACCGCAAAACCTATGCTCGAGAAGCCGCATCGCATTGAGATCTTCCACAGGGACCCTTCGCAATCACTTCGTCCAAGGACGTGAACCATATCCGACGGATGCTGTCTACAGCCGGATCTCATCTCCGACGATATACGGTGTCCAGTACGAGCATTCCATTGGGTGGACCGAGCGCTTCCACCGAAGGTCAGTGTCGCACTGGATAGGGAACCGCCAACCAAACACTGACGCTGACACGGGCCCCCTCCTGGGCACGAGAGTGGTTCACAGACCCTCCTGGCCCATGCTGGGGAGCCCTGTACAGGAGTCAGTGCAACAGCTCTGGCATCAGGAGGGGTATGGCTGGTACCATGCCTTTGTTACATGATTCGGGGGACCGACAAGGGGGGACCAGCGCAAAGGGGGAAACCATCGGCCTGGACTCGGCCATGCATTGCTGATGGCTGGGCGATAGGCCCTCGATGACAAAACCGCAGGCTCCTGGCCGGGGTGAGCCATCGGGCCACTGTCCGCGATCAGTCGGCAATGTGGGGTCGACGCCTCGGAGACCCAAGTGGCTGCGCGGCGCGCAGCCGGCCGGGGCAGCCGGCCGTCCGCCCCTCCCGGGGAGTGTGAGGGGCGCCAGGGTACCTACCCCCACCTGCTCGAAGCCCTGGCACTCCCAGAGCCTATCTCTCCCTGGCGCTGCCCCCGAAGGCAGCCGACTCCATGCCGCAAGGCCACTGCTGCCGCTGAGGAGGCCGAGAATTGAGCAGGGACCAACCGTCCCGGCATTCCTATAGTTTTCTACCACGAAGTGTTCTTAGAACCCAAAAATGTCCTAATAACAGAAGCAATGTTCTTAGAACATAAACCCGATGCGACAAAACAAGACAGACTCCGCCAGAAATGTTCTAAGGACATTTCGTGGAAACCACAAAAGTTTCTTAGAACATTGTTTGGTGGGGCTATAGGCGAACCAGGACGCTTCGCCACTGCTTGACTCCACGCCGCAAGGCCACTGCTGCCGCTGAGGAGGCCGAGAAGCGCGGCCCGCTGGAGATGGGCTCCGGCTCTGCCTGCCGGCCGAGCTCTCGCCGGCGGACTGGTGCCGCGCCTAAGGGCGGCACCGCCACGTACTCGGCCGCCTCTGCCACTGCGACGGCGTAGGCCCCAGGGTCCACGCCCTGGATCGCAGGGTGGGCAGCGGTCCCCTCCTCCTCCTCCTCCTCCTCCTCCTCCTCTTCCTCCTCTTCCTTCTCCTCCTCCTGCTCCTCCTCCTCCTCGTCCTCCTCTTCCTTTTCCTCTACCTCCTCCTCCTCCTCCTGCTCCTGCTCCTCCTCGTGCTCTCCACCTCCTCCTCCTCCTCCTCTTCCCCCTCCTCCTTTCTCCTTTCTCCTCCTCCTCCTCCTTCTCCTCCTCCTCTCCTCCTCCTTTCCTCTCATTCTCCTCGTCCTGCTCTTCCTTTTCCTCTACCGCCTCCTCCTTCATTCGTTTCTCCTCCTCGTGCTCTCCTCCTCGTGCCTCCCCTCTCCTCCTCCTCGTGCTCTCCATCGATCCTGCCTCCTCCTCCTCCTAGTGCCCTCCTCGTGGCTCTAACCTGCTCCTGCGCCTCTCGTGCTCGCCCCTCTTGCCCTCCTCTTCCTCCTACTCCCTCTCTCCTCCTCCTGCCGCCTCATCCTCCTTCTCCTTCTCCTCATCCTCCCTTCTCCTCATCCTCATCCTTCTCCTACTCCTCCTCCTTCTCCTCCTCCTCCTTCTCCTCCTCCTCCTCCTCCTTCTTCTCCGCCTCCTCCTCCTCCTCCTCCTCCTCCTCCTCCTCTCTCCTCCTCGTCCTCCTCCTCCTCCTCCTTCTCCTCCTCCTCCTCCTCCTCCACCTCCTCCCCTTCTTTCCCCGCCTCCGCAGGACCTCTCGACGTTCGGAGAACGAGGAGGGCAGTAAGGAGGATACCTAGGAGTGGCACACTGCGGACAAACACGAGGAGGATAAGGAGGAGGACGAAAGAGAGAAGTCGGCCGTGATTGTGTTCACTACGTGGGCCGCCCCCGGGACTCCCGCCGCCCACTTGCACTTGCACGGGCCTCCAAGAAACAAAACACTTCTGCGGAGAAACTGGCCGTCACGACTTCCTGTGACGCCTGGGGAACGGGGAGGTGGACGTGGAGGAGCGAAGCATCTCTCCAGGTCTCTGCAGGTCCCTGGTGGCCTCTGGTGGCGCTCAAAGAACTCGATCCTCGAACGTGAAGGAGGAGTGAGGCGGAGAAGGGGGAGGAGGAGGAGGAGGAGGAGGAGGAGGAGGAGGAGGAGGAGGAGGAGGAGGAGGAGGAGGAGGAGGAGGAGGAGGAAGAGGAGGAGAGGAGGAAGAGGGAGAAAAGGAGGAGGAGGAGGAGGAGAAGGAGGAGGAGGAGGGGGAAGAGCAGGAGGAAGCGGAGGAGGAGGAGGATGAGGAGGGGGAGGAGGAGGAGGAGGAGGAGGAGGAGGAGGAGGATGAGGACCAGTGTAAACCCAAGAGTCAGCAACGATGTTGGAGTAAACCCTCCCTCCAAGCTCCCTCTTAATAGGCCCCTACAGCGGTTCATTTCCATTGAAGGAACTGCCTCACTGCAAGAAACCCATTTGAAGACCCTGAAGCATGCCGGAACATTGTTCTCGAGATTCCAACGCCACGGCTCAACTGAACTGGTTGCGTCTTGTCGATCCTGAATCGTGCCAAAACGCCATTCCGAAGACTTCCACACAAAGAACCAACATAATTCTTGCACCCGCATAATCTGGAATCCTTCCACAACACAGTTTCTTGTATGTTGATGAAAGGATCTCGTGGAACTATCGGAACATGTTGTAAACGAATGTGCGCGGCGCTAAGGCGAGAACCACATTTTGAAAAAGAACCGTCCTCAACCCGTGAAGCTCTTGCAAATGTTGAAAACGAATGTGCGCCGCTATAAGGCGAGAGCCCCATCTTGAAAACGACCCGCCTTCAATGCGTGAAGCTCTTGCGTGTTTTACAACGAGTGTGCGCCGCACTAAAGCGAACACCACATTTTGAAAACGACCCGCCCTCAATCCGTGAAACTCCTGCGAATGTTTAAAACGAGTGCCGCGTTAAAGCGAGAACCACATTTTGAAAACGACCCGCCCCCAATCCGTGAAACCCTTCCAATTTTTAAAACGAATGTGCGCCGCGCTAAGGCGAGAGCCACATCTTGAAAACCACGCGCCCTCCACCTGTGAAAAGGTGGCCAATTTTTAAGCTTCCGAGTCATACGTGATAAGGAAATATCAGGCGTAACGCCAGGCCCACCATAAAAACTGGCCTCGGGGTGCGACAGGGCGAAGTTCTGTATAAGGAAAAGGATTGGAGGAGAAGAAGGAGGACTGCGGAGGAGGAGGAACAGGATGATGATGATGATGATGATGATGATGATGATGATGATGATGAGGAGGAGGAGGAGGAGGAGGAGGAGAAAAGGATGAGGATGAGGATGAGGAGGAGGAGAGGAGGAGGAGGAGGAGGAGGAGGAGGAGGAGGAGGGAGGAGGAGGAGGAGGAGGAGGAGGGGAGGAGGAGGAGGAGGAGGAGAGGAGGAGTAGGAGGAGGGGGAGGAGGAGGAGGAGAGGAGGAGGAGGAGAAGGAGGAGGAGGAGGAGGCAGAGGGGGAGGAGGAGGAGAAGGAGGATGAGGAGGAGGAGGAGGAGGAGGAGGAGGGAGCAGGAGGAGGGGGAGGAGGAGGAGGGGGAGGAGGAGGAGGAGGAGGAGGAGGAGGAGGAGGAGGAGGAGGACCAGCACGCATCCTGAAAGAAGAGTGTCTGCCGACTTGGCGCCCCGCGCCCTTGCTCGAGGAGCAAGAGGGAGGAACGACCTCAAAACGCGAAGGTCATCCCGACGAAACTGCCAACGCGAAAAAACGGAACTGTCTGGCCACAAGCCCAGAGGAACACGCCGAAGGAGTTGAGGAAGGTGGCTTGCTGCCCCGCGTGGCGGCCTCCTCCCTTGCTCATACTTGAGCCTTGGAGGAGGCGGAGTAGGAGGAGGAGGAGTAGGATGAGGAGGAGGAGGAGGAGGAGGAGGAGGAGGGGAGGAGGAGGAGGAGGAGGAGGAGGGGAGGAGGGTGACGACAGGCCCGGCGAAGGCGGGAGAATCGCGGGGGGAGGGAGGGGGGAGGGGGGAGGGAGGGGGCGGAGGGCGCGAGGAGATGGGGGAGGGGGGGCAGGATCGGAGTGGAATCGCGGGTCGCGGACGGAGAAGAAGTGGGATGGGGAGGAGGAGGGGAGGGGAGACGAACGCAGTGGAGGAGTGGGGGGAGGAAGATAGAGAGGTAGATGACATCAAACTTAAGCACGGGTCTGGTGCCGGGGCCGCGGATGAGGAGGGAGAGGGAAGGAGGTGAGGAGGAGGAGGAGCGATTTCGACGTTTCTGTTTCGGGCTTCCTGGGGGGCATCGTCGCCATAGCCAGATCAGCCTCGAAGCTCTGGTCAGAGAGCGCTGCGGGACATTTTCGATCGCCGATTTTGAGGGGGGGAAAGAGAAAGAGGAGGAGGAAGAGGAGCAGGAGGAGAAGTAGAAGGAGGAGGAGGAGGATTAGGGGGTGGAGAAAGATGCGGACGAGGGTGAGGAGAAGCTCTGCTGCAGCAACTGTTCTCTCTTCTTCCCATTATCCTGCTCTTGCTCCTCCCTTTATCATCCCTTGTGCTGTTCTGGTTCCTGCCTTCGACTTCGCCCGCTCTCCT